GTAAAAATTACATACTACTAAATAAAATAGTCCCTACTCTAAATTTATCTAAATAGTATATGAAAGCTCAAAACTAGTGGAAAAATACTTCTTCGATCATATTACATAGGGGGTCGGTACTCGATTCTAGTCTCAGAGTATTGTTTATCAGCTTGTTGTATTTGAGGTATGTGCCTTAACGTGTTGTTGTCTTGTTGTACCAATTTAGAAAGTAAACAATACTGACAGTTTTGGTACAAGTGATATCGATCTTTTGGAGAGAATAAACTGAAACGTCCACTTTTTACAAAAAAATCCTCGAAACAAAGTGGTGGGCCAACGAGAATATGTGAGGTTCTTCTTGTAAGAGTTACAGTTGTATAGTCCAGTTCCTCAGTTTCTACTTAGTCTTCCTGTCCAGAAACCCACAGGGACATTGCTCCCAAAATATCCTTTTGGTTTGGATGTCGAAAGTGCGAAGGAGTTCACTAAAAGCTTGACCTAAATGCACAGCCCACTTTTTGTTTATATGCCCACTTCTCGGTATTTTATATATATAAAGTTTCGTCGACAGCAAGTATGTTTGTATGGTATTAGAAATATCTAGGTGTCTACTTTGTTGCTTTTCTATATCATTTTTCTGTAGTTTAGCTTGTTTTGTTGTTGACCAAGAGATCGTTAGAAAGAGTTGTTGTCTGCTGTGTATAGCTTTATTTATATACTTTAGAGTACTTTTAAAAACATAACAGTTTATTAACAAAAGCTATTTATAATGCTCCAGACTTATATTAGTTTCCAATTCCTAGTAAATACAAACTTTTTTTGGTTTTAAGGTAAGGCTTTGCTCATATCTTTATTAGTAATAATTTTTAAATAGTAACAATATAGATTACTACAATATAGTCACTAAGACTTTTACTTGTAGTCAGGGCTAGTGTTTCTATAGACCAGACTCGAACCAGACTTTTGTCAAATTTGAGTCTGGTCTGATTTTCAGACCAGACTCAGACTTTTATATTCAAACTTTTTAATCAAGTCTGAGTCTGGTCTGGGTCTGGTCCGAAGTCTGCAGACTAGTCTGAGTTTGAATATTCAGGGCATTTAATAAAAATTGGCAAATGAATTTAGGGTAATTCGATTAAGTTATTGATTTTGGCAATGATCAGTTTATATTTTTACATGCAAGATAATTTTATCATTATAATGCTGTTGCACTAAATCAGAAATATAGTCAATGTTATTTAGGATTATAAATGCTAATTCTTATATTAAATCATAAAGCTTTTTATTAGATTTAGAATTATTACGGCTTAATCTTGAATATTTTTTTATTTATTTTGTTATAATATTGAGTTTCATATTATGTTTTTATCAACTGACTTAGTTTGTAAATCGTGTAGAGCAATTTTAGAAAATATATAGTTCAATGAGTAAATTGAACCTAAATGAAAAGTTTAACAGTATTGTAACTAAATATTGCATAATTTAAGGTAGGGCGAATACTTTTCTGCAGGAAATGCATCATTATTTACATAATCTTTGAATTTAATTTTATTATTCGTATTAATTTTGGTGGATATAAAAGTATTTAAAATAATCTATTCATGTTTATTATTGATCTATATTATGGTATTTAATATCCTTTAATCTTGTTATTTATAAAAATTATGAAAAAATAAATTACTATAATATTTTCAATACGGATTTTTTTACTTAGATTAAGTTATTGATTAATCCTAAATTTTCAGACTTTGAAATAATTTCTCTCATATAAATAAGCTTAGAAATATACATCATATTATCGTGTTTTTGTGAGGTAATTGAATTCTGATTTATTAGCTTTTAAAAATTGCTGTCTAATCTCTTTATCTGAATTAATGTATTGTTCGTCTAACTTAACATTACCATTATTGACAACTATAATATTTTTCTATTCTTTGAATTTATTAAATATTCCAACAGCCTTAGTTTTTTTTTTATATCTGATTTAGTATTATTATTATGTGTAACTATAATATTTTCCATTTTTCAAGTTTATCAATAATCTCAATAGCCTTAGATCTGTTTTTCATATCTGAATTAATATATTGTTTTGCCAAT